AAGCTCTAAAACGCACTGCTGCCATCTAGTGGTACATTTTGTAAAGTACAGCGAAACCTACAGATATATACAGTATATAAATATATATATATATATTTATATTTTTGGGGGTGGGAGAAATCCAAAATGAATGCTTGTTTCGTTTTTAAGCTGCTGCTACCATTCCTTAGTGTCAGATGAGATCGTGCAGGTACACACAGATGGGTAATGTAAGCCGAACTCTGTCATTTCAAGGGCTTCACCTATGACTAAGAAGCTGGGACAGTCCACTGAATGGGTGTAATGATCACACATACATGTCTGATTGCTTTGTGTTTTTTTTTTTTTTTTTTTAAATCATGTAAATTCTGAAATCCTTTTGCACTGATGTGTTGAACCTTACTCTTGTATATTCAGTCGAGGCAAACTTTTATAATTTACCCTTCGTTTTCAGTGACCTTGAGATGTTATAGCATGGTGATATTCTATGCAACGATAATTCTTTTTTGGTTTGACACTGTATTTTTTCACATTAATTTACTGTTGGATGGTAGATTTTATAACCTAACAGGGTCCTCAAGCGGTGCACAACTTAGATGCATGTACTTGTGTTTCGTGTCATTGTTGAAGTGCAATGATGTATAAAAAGTGGACTCAACCTGTTTTTAAAAATAAAACATTGATAAAAGGTGTTTGGAATAATCTTTAATATCTTCTCCAATTTTAGGAAGAAGTTACAGGTGTACATAGAAAGTAATTTCTCAGCTTGTCAGCTTTTTAAGCTCCTTTTCCACGTCATCCACAAACGCTGGGAAATGCTGATCCATGAGGCACAGGCGTAGAAAGGGGCCCAGCTCCTCCGCATCCCACACCGACTGTCCATACGCAGGGGGCAGTGTCTCCGATGCCAGGATAGACTGAGGGACACCAGAGGGAGCTTGTTAGAGGTAAGGCAGCGCACACAGTGACAACACGGACGCACATCGGGCAACTACAGCTTCCTCTACGGAGGGCCAATGTGGCATTTACACACAAAAGGTACAGTCACATGCCACATCCTGTTTGATCAGTGACTGGCTGCATACAGCAGTCCCATAAGATTGTAACACACCAGCCGGTGTTGTGGTGCTGAAGGCGGCTGGATCCCACATGGCCAACTACACAGTTAGGCCCAAAATTTCAAAAGGAGACAGACTGTGGCATGGCCAGTCCCCATGTGTTTTTCTCTACATGTGTCCTCTGGCAAACTTGGGATTTTTTCCCCGTAAGTGTGCAGCTGTCAGTGTACAACACAGTATGCTGTTTGTGCGGTGCTGATGTGAACAAACCGCCGCTGTAGAGACGCGCACACTTGACAGCTGATGGCAGAGAGGACTGGTACCGTGTGTGTACTGACTGCAGCTGTAGTCCTTTTAGAAGCTCATAGTGAAACACCATGCCCTGCTGACAGTAGCCCTAATACACCTTGAGCTTGATGTATTCTTGTTTGTAATTTTAACAGAAAAACTTTTAGAATAGCCTGTTTAAGTCTAAATATAAAATGATCAAAAGGTTACAGCAAGCTATTATTGAAGGAAAAGCTTTCCTAAAGTTTGCTGTGATGTCCTCAGCCTTCACAGTTACTCACCCAGAGCAAGTTCCAGTCTACGAACGCCAAGGTGTATGTGTGTTTTCCTATGGGATGTGCACTCACAAGAGAGGGGCATGGCCACACTGCACTCCCTTCTCTATCCTTGTCTTGGGATTTTGTGATGTGCCCGGCCTGTTCTTGAAGCCTCTCGATCCAGGCCTCAGACCATGCAGCACCGCTTTTTACTGTACCTTTTCTGTCTTGAGGTAGCATAGTCTGTGGATTCATAGGAAACCTATCAATAACTGAACTCAACTAGTCCTCACTCGGGTGCAGAGTGGGCACAAGCAATTGGCCCTGCAGAAGCTGGGCCCTGAACACAGAGAACCTACAGACTACTGGGTGGTCCACACAGCTGTTCTTGGCCAGCTGTGGGGTCTGACAGAGGTATAGGAGCATTACCCGAATCAACACAGACCACTTCTACCGCCCCCTTCAAATGCCCTGTGCGGCCTGTTCTCAAACCTAATCCCTGGTGGTCAGTGAGCGCTTACCTTAGCTGTGCCTTTTCTAGAAGAGGAAATGATGTCACGGTAATACAGAGCTCTGCTCAAACTGTCTGCATGATGCATTGCGCTTAAACCACCTTGCCGAGTACGGTGGTGGTGCCCCCCTCGCTCAAGTCCTGCGCCGTTCAGGTATAGCACAGCGGGATTAGCCACGCTCCAGTGGAAGGACATGAGGGTGCTTCTGTCCTTTGCAGTTACCCACAAAGCTGGGACAGACGTTCACATACAGGTTTCTGTGCTGAGTTTTCCTCTTACTTGGGTGCACTCCTAGGAGTGGGACTGCTAGGTGTCTGTAAGTGCGACAGGCCAGTCCGCAGTGGCTGTGCCGTTCCGCAGCCCACCAGCAGGGAGCGCTCACAGCCGTTCTTCACCTGGCACTTGAAACCCTGAGGATTGGTTTTTGGTTTTTAGCTGTTCCAAACAGCGCGAGGCCTCCCTCGCTGCGGTTCCCCCCAGGGACTAAGGAAGGTAAGCACATGCTTGTTTCCTTCTGTAATCCTAAATTCTCTCGAGTAAGTGGCCAGCATTTAAATGTTGGGAGAGAGTCTGACAGGGCCTCAGCTTGGAAGATCTGGCACCGGCTCTGGAGTTCCAGTCGAGGACAACAGACTCTGGTCCTGTGTGGTCTAGACTTCTGCTCCGACTCGGTCACCTCAGCAGTCTCACTTCCGTTCTGTGCAGGTGAGTTGATCACGTGCACCCCAACAGGGTGTGATCACACCACAGCCCTTCTCCATCGGGATTCTGGGCGGGGATGCATGTGTGTCCGTGCGCCTCTCCAGGCAGTAGGATTCAGACCTGGTCAACCGTGTGGGAGCTGGCCAGCCGTGCAGAGCCCCCCACACTGTGTGGTCCTCTTGAACACGCTGCTGTGGCTTTTTTAAGCAAGGTGTGACAACAGATAGGATCTACATCACTTATTTTCTCTGGTAGGTACAGTCTGGCTGCCTCCTGAGTAGCTGGGGCACGTGTGGGCCAGAAATACTGAACCCAGGTCTCCTTTGGGTGCAGCATCAGTCAGCTACGGCAGTTGTAGTGACGGCACTGTCCCCCAGCTGTGGCCACACCTCCTTTAAGCACAGTATGAGTATTTTTGTTTTTATAACAAAGTAGAATATTATATTTGCTTTTGGTTCACAGACTTGTCCAGAGGTCAGTGCACACAGTGATCTTTCTGAGCTACAAGCCTCACACTCGCTCTCATGCCCTGTTCACACAGGATTGAGAACGAAGGAGATCATTCCCTCAGCTTGAGACACAAGTACGGGCGGGCACTGCAGAGTCTCCTGCCGCTGGACAAATAAACTTTCCCTGCCATAGTTATTAGGTGATAAAACAGACAGACATGAATTCTTGGTCGTCTTGTCTCTGGAGTTCTCGGTTCGTTTGAGTCAGTGGTGCGCCAGATGGAGAAAACACCCATGTTTTCTTTTTTCTAACTGGTGGTACATTTTAATGTGTGTGTGGGGAAAAAAAATTTACCCTTGCATTGTGGTGCGGTCCCTGCAGAATTTGCAGGACATATGGCCATGAGCATGTGCTGCCACGCAGAGTGCAGCGGGAGTCCAGATTGGGCCACAGCGCTCCGGCTGTGTGGACGGCACGCAGCACAGGTCTGAAGGAGAGGGTGTCGCAGTCCTCCTTGCTAACAGTGCACTGCAGGGGAAAAGGCTGCCTGCGAGCCGGGCTCAGGTGACAGGTGAATCCTGGTCTCCACACGTGCAGAGCTGAGACTGGAGCACCGGACCTTTGCCCTGATGGAACCCACCAGGGAGCCGAGTCCAAATTCCTTTGACATTGGTTTTAGAATAGTTCCCAGGTTTCACTTCCCAAAGTAAGTTGATTCTCCCTATTGGAAGTGGTAACTAAACTTTCTGACACATTTTTTTTTCCCTCCTCCAGGTGGCAGTCCTGAGCCTGTGCCGGGGTAATCCCCAGTGGGAAACGAGGACGGCCTGCCTCTGTCTACAACCTAGTGACACTGTAGGTTCTGTTCTAGAACAATGAGCAGAGGAATACACATCGTAGGACTCACTGTTTCTCACGACGAGAACACGACACAGAACAAGGCTCTACCTGAGCTCGCTGCTGCACGGAGATCCTCCCCTCTGGTGTGCCTGCACCGCCGGCTTCACACACTGACTGCTCCAGCTGCTGCTGGGACTGCAGTGAAATGAAAGCAGTTAGGAGACCAGCTGACTGTAGTGTAAGCACTTCAGGCCAGCAAAGAGGTGGAGACAAAAGGATTTGTGCTCAGAAAGAAAAAAATAAAAGTGGTAGAGACTGTCAGCCTCCACCCTGGCTGTAGGGTAGGCTCTGAGAGTCTGCTCTACAGCCCCCTACACCTGGAGTTCGTGGCTCCTCCCCCCATAGTATAACAGACACTTATCACACCCCCCCATACTATAACAGACACTTCCTACTATATAGGACACTGAGACCCTCTACCGTACTATAACAGACACTTAACACACCCCCATACTATAACAGACACTTCCTACTATATAGGACACTGAGACCCTCTAACGTGCTATAACAGACACTTATCACACCCCCCCCCATACTATAACAGACACTTATTACACCCTTCCTCCTCCTCCTCGCAGGCAACCCCTGAATATGGAAGCAAGAGAGGTGCCAGTTCCCTACCCACTGCTGGTGTCTGTGCTGACACTCAGGGCCAGTCTTCACAGTGGAGGCTGGAATTTAGCTGACTAGTGGCCAGGTGAGGGTCAGGCTCGTGTCTTCCTTACTGATAAAAGGCATTTAAGACATGGGGCCAGCATATGGTGTAGTGGTTAAGTCACTGGACTCCCACACGGCTGACAGTGATTCGAATCCCAGACCCAGTGGCTTGAAATATGCTGGGTGTGTGTAGAATGGAGGAGGGATTGCGGCACGGCCATCCCCCAGGTGCTTGCTTGCTGTCTCTGTCTTTCCAGCAACTGCGTGTCCCTTAAGGCAAAAACTGGATCAAGTGGTGGAAAACCCAGGTCTGGAAAATTATTTCTCAGAGCAGAAAAAAAAAAAAAAAAGAACCAACCCAGCTTGAAGCTGGGATTTCCTAACAGCAGAGGTAGCTGGGTCCTCTAATAACACTAGGGGCTGGGGCAGGCAGGTGGTGTGGCGGTTAATATGCCGGACGACCACAGTGCAAGTCCTAGATCTGGTGGCTTGCTTTCTCACATTCTAGTCATATTTTTTTAAAAAAGTAATTCTTTTTAAAAATTAACACTGGGGACTGTGACAAAGAAAGGCTAGAATATGCACTTACAAGAGAAATGCCATAGCAATGAGTCTTCAGCTTTTTTTTTCTTTAAAAAAGTTTCTTTCGTGAAAGAGACAGGGACACACACACACAGGGACACACACCAAACAGGGTCTTGCCATAGCACATTCTACTCCAGCCTCTTTGCCAGCCAGGATCACAGGTCAAGCCCGAATCTGAACCCAGGCCCTCCCGTGAGACCCCATCACTGCAGAGCACCACCATGGCTGGGAGTTTGTGCCATGCGTCTGCCTGTCACACAGGAAGGCAGAGCTCACTCAGTAACATGCCATTATCTGTGAAAACATTTCTATGAAAAAGAACTATCTTCCAGAGTAAAATGTATTTCTTTTTGCAAATCTAGTATCTCATCTAACAGAAGACGGGTGGCTTCTCGTCTCTGCCTGCGTGACATGTTGCTGTAAAGCACGTGAAGGCAATCCGGCCTCGCTGAGACGCGAGATGGAGAGGAGGAGGGGTCTAAAGTAGCCTTTCCAGATCACTGTGGAAATCCTTCCACAAGACTCCATAAACGATAGCTGCTTAATGGAGAGATGCGATACTAACCCTGAAACCACGGCTTCACAGACGTCACAGTCTACCGTCTGTCTCACAACTTCACAAAGCTCCCTCGCTCTCACGCATGCATTTTATGGTGCCACGCTCACTTCGGTCACCTAGACAATACTGGTTCATGGAACTAGACAGATCTTCCAAATGTTGACAAACTTCACGTAATTTATAAGAAATTGATAGCACCCTCAGAAAAGGCTAGGAGGATGTGAAGTTCGTGGCAGCAGATTACAAGTTTCACTGATTCTAATTTTTCACTTGAAAGCTTAAATGTTGTCATTAAGAATACACGCTGGGGCCAGCAGGTGGCATGGTGGTTAAGAGCACTGGACTTCCACTTGGCTCACCATGGTTCAAGGCCCAGACCTGCTAGCTTGCTTTCTCACTCTGCCACCCCCCATCTCTGTCCCTCTCCGGTCAAATTAAATAACTCAATAAAGTTAAATTTAAAAAGTTAAATATTTTTTATAAAAAGAATAAATGCTATCTTTGTTTCCCTGAAATGATGGACACTCTCGTTTCTGAGAAAATATCCGATTACCCAGATGTGAATGACTATAAGCGGTCATTGTTATTGCAAGTAACAGTATCCATCAAACAAGAGGTAGGCCAGCCAGGATGGTGCAGCAGTCCGGGTTCTCATCCCAAGGAAGGTACACATGCCAGGCACACCCCACCTGCCCACGATCCCGTCTGGCAGTGGCATGAGGACCCTGAAGTTGCCCCCGCTCTCCTCTCATGGAAGAAATACATTTTCAATAAAGGCTAGAACAGCTCCTAACATCCCACAGGTGCAGCCCGAGCCGGCCACTGTACTGCAGGCCAAGGTCACGTTGGCTGGCTGTACTGAGTGAGCAGGGAAG